TCGTAATCATAATTTTTATATCAGTGGTGATCATAATTAAAGGCTAAGTTCAAGGTAGATGACAACAGCTTTATAAGAAGTGGATAGTTTAACTTTTCTGATTATGACTATGATTGTGCTTACGAGTATGTAAATGTCGTATAAACCCGGCATAACTTGCCAAAGACCTAATTATCACTTAAAAAAATGTATCATTTCTAACTTTTAAGAAATCTTGAATTCAAGAAATCTTGCAAGACTCTTGAAATTTCTTGCATATTAAAGTCTTGTCTTATCTTGAAATTCAAGACAAGAAATTTTGAAAGTCTTGTCTTGAATTTCTTGCAAGAGTCTCGCAAGACTATTTCAAGACTCTTGTACAACACTAATACTTATCCCCTTTAAGTTTTCATGAACAACATCCTTGTATCTTTTGAGTTGTCCAACCGGTTTCCTCTTACCCTCTACAAGTTCACCGTAAAGAAGAGATTTCGGTAAGCGGTTTTCTTGCATCCTGCATACGTGGCCAGCCCATCTTAAGCGAGATTTAGTAATCATGACTTCAGCGCTCTCGCAGTTTGCTTTTTTAAGGACTGCTACGTTTGAGACATGGTAGTACCATTTGATTCTTAAAAGTTGTCTAAGGTGTTGCAACTTGTTTAATGCGCTCGTGTGTCGGCGGTACGGCACCCAGGTTTCGCTTCCATATAACATGGTGGGGATTATTACTGCTCGATACACTGCAAATTTCGTTTTTGTGCTCATAATTGTAGAAAACCCTGTCTTTTAATTTCCAAAATGTTCTTGAGGCACTGCTGATTCTGTGCTGAATTTCAGAGTCGATATTTGTCTTTTCCGAAATCAAACTGCCGAGGTAATTAAATTCCGATACATCTTCCAGTAGTTCTTCTCCGATTTTTATAGCATTGTTGTGATCTTCCAGGGGAGTGCACATGATTTTAGTTTTGTCGATGTTCAGCTTAAGGTCCAAAGCCTCGTATGCTCAGGAATATGTGTTCAACATTTGCAACTAGACCGCAGGCATCAGCGTATTGAAGTTCTGTGATGAATTTTGTACGTGTTTTTGCCGTGAGTCTTTTTATGTTGAACAGACCGCCGCCGTATCTGTATCTAATACACAGTCCTCTTCCCTGCAGCTTGCTGTCCACTATAATTATTGTGGACAGCAAACTGCAAGACGAGTATATTATAACATTTTCTCTATTACAAGCCACATAATGATTTTGTCAGATATTTTACTATTGAAAGATGTCAGATAATCCTTCAAACTCTTTTAACTTCTTACGAATTTTGTGCTACCATATTTTTTTTTTTGTATACAATGTCCAAAATTTAGATGTATGGAAACTAGGCTTTAATTGTACCGTTGTAATTTTTTGGATGTTGCCTGTCGAAATCTTCCCTAACTGGTTAAATTCGACTTTACCTGGAATTCGTCGTGACCTATATTTTACATTTTTTCAGTACATAGATGTAGGTATACAGGGTGGTCCGAACTGTATTCCGGAAACTTCGGCGGAATATTCTACAGATAAAAATAAGTAATAAAGTTCGTATAAATGTATGTCCTAAAATGCTTAGTTTCAGAGATACAGGGTGTAGAAGTTTCATTTTTATTTCGATTTTTTCCAAATAATTTATGAAGTAACGTCAATACTTGGATGAAAATTTCACACCTCTACTTTTCAACCAATAACATGCTTTAATGTTGACTAGTTACCATGGCAACTGAAAAAATTTCCGGAAATTTTTTCGAGGCGCCACGAAACTTTAGTGGAAATTTTTTACAGTTGAAAAGGTAAACATAAGATCTACAATCATAATGTGAATAACTACAATGTCTATATATTGAAATATTACCCATTTGAGTTTTAGCATTTGATGTAACTAAGGTTGGTAATATTTTTTATTTAAGGAAATATGTTAGATATACCTACATATGAATTTCTTCGAAATTGCCATGTTCTAAAAAATATAGTTCTGCCGCCTTTATTTAACTAAAGCTGGTATTTTTCTATTTAACGAAATATGATGGATATATCTATATGATTTTTTTAGAATTTATTTCATGTTGAATTATCTTCAATGCCAAATCTTTAATGATATCGACTAATATAGCAAAATAATAACGAAACACATTTAGTAATTATAGGTTTTATTAATATTAAAAACACAATTATTGTAAATGTTTGTAGGCTGGCTTGAATTGGTGGTTTGAATCTGGGTATTTTCTGTTTTATTTTGCATTGTGCTCTGATCATGATTGAACTGGCTAGTACTTGATGAAATGCTCCTCATGGATTCAATCATCTGTTGATGATGTTCAGCGTCCAACTGTAAGTAAGGTTTGATCGACTGACTATTACTATGTCCAGTAATTTTAATGAGCTGTTGTTCACCAACTCCTTTCTTGGCCAAATTCGAAACAGCTGTTGCTCTTGCAGAATGATTGGTTATTTTAACTTTTTTAGTGTCAATTCCTATATCTGAAGCTGCTGATTTAAACCATGAAGATACAATGTTCTTACCAACTGGGCTATTCTTGTACCATCCTTTCGAATTGGGTTGATTCCAGTATGGGTTTGGTGTTAAGAATAGTCTGTCGGTTTGAATAAGATTTCCCCTTTTTTCCATCAACTTTCTAAACAAGCGAACCGGACACATTTGTGGATTTTCGAAATTTCTAATCAACCATTTACTATCCGACAGTTTTTTAGAACCACCTTGTGTGGTTTTAGAGAAAATTGGATTATATTCTATCCGACCTTTTGGGTTTCCGAAATTATCAGTTTCTTCTTTGAAGTATTGGATACAAGCAGAATGTCCTTCCCCTCCTCTCCATGCCAGCTCATGTGAAACTATGTGAAAAAATTTACGCTGCAACCCATCTGGAGTATTTTCATCCCACATTTCAATAATTTTTTTGTATTCGTCACTGGTTAAGGCTGAAGCACTCACTTTTCTTTTTGCTGAATCTCTCTGTAGTATTTTGCGCTTAGCATCGCGTGCAGCTCTGGCGGTCACAAATTCCACATCAGAAAACGGATTAAATTTTATTTTATATTTTTCGTAATAAATTTCTTGCAACTGCTTAGCAGTAGAGTTCCACATCACTTTGACCACACTTTCCTTATAATCTTCAAAATTTTTCTTTTTCATATTAAATGCGTAGTCCTCCAGTATAGTAGCCAGCTGTACTACACTCATACACTCATGAATATTATACGACTTTTCATCACAAAATTCAACAAACTGTTTCCATACACTTGATTTTGATTTTCGGGTGTTATCTGGTTTTATATTTTCAATTTCTTCTTTAATGACTTGTTGGTTTACTTTTCCAAATCGCGACATTTCGCTATACACTTCTTACTCTACGTACAGACGTTTTAAAACTAGTAATAGCTTAATGACAGAATCGCAAACAAAAATGACAAAACACATAATATGTCAAAAACATCAATACCTTGGCCAACTTAACAAATTGAAATTATTTTAAAATGTCATGTTGGATTAATATTTTTTTTTCAAATTTAGGTGTGAAATTTTCTCACCGAATACCACGCAAGCTTAATTATTCCTGGAAATTTTCTTTCGGGCACGAATATTTTTAGAAAATTATCCCTCGTCTTCGACTCGGGATAATTTTCAAAATATTCGTGCCCTCAAAAAAATTTCCGAAAATAATTTAAGCTCTTGTGATATTATAAGTGAAAATTGGTGTCTCGGAGGTTTTTGACATGAGAAATTTGATTTTGATGTCAATATGACTCCTACTAGTAGAGGGCACCACCTACATGTGTTTTAACTGTTTTGAAGCGTAATAACTTTTTGTCCATACCTGTATAAAACTACCGAGCGAAAAAATATATATCTCTGTGACTTTTTACGTAAAAATGATCTCTTTGTAAAAATCCTTACGAGCTACTGTTCTTAAGATATTTAGAATGGAAATAGTGAATACATGTCATTATTGGCGAAAAATAAACACATTGAGTAGATAGTTATTTCACTGAAATAATAAATTTTGGAAATTTTTATTTTTTTAAATTAATCATAAATTTTTCTGCAAAAAATGATGATAAAACAGTTTCTGTTGAACTTTTGGCACAAAAACATTTCAAATTTATGATTTCAATCTAATAACTATTTAGTCAACACCTTTAATTCATGTCAATGATGACAGGTATTGATAATTTCGATTCCAAATATCTCGAAAACCATTACTCGTAGCGATTTTTACCAAGAGATCTTTTTCACGTAAAAAAAGTCGTAAATGTATATTTTTTTACTCAGTAGTTTTATACAGGTACGGACGAAAAGTTATTACTCTTCAAACCAGTTAAAAATATGTAGGTGGCGCCCTCTACAAGTAGGAGTCATATTGACATCAAAATCAAATTTCTCATGTCAAAAAACTCCCAGACACTAATTTTCATCCAAATATTGGCGTTACATCAGAAATTATTTGGAAAAAATCGAAATAAAAATGAAACTTCTACACCCTGTATCTCCGAAACTAAGCATTTTAGGACATACATTTATACGAACTTTTTTACTTATTTTTATCTGCAGAATACGCTGCCGAAGTTTCCGGAATACAGTACAGCACCCTGTATATCTCGTACTTATTGATTGACAACCATACGCCTCAAGATTAACTGAGGGTCCCCGTTGCCATTATATTCATTTCCTCATATTTTCTTATTAATTTCATTCGTATTGTATTCTAATATGACTTTATGTCTGGTACATTATTTAACAACAATCAACTGAAAATCAGGTCGAAAAATATGATTTTTCTTGTAACGGTCGTGACATATGTAACAGAACAATGCCTAGACATGGTGTACTTCATAGCTTATTCAATACCCAGTTTAAAAATCTCTAGAGAATCCTAGGGAGTTGTTAGTTATAGATTGAATCACCTCTAAACCATTATAGAATGATATTACTTAAATAACTATTTTTTAATTTTTATATCAATCATTTATTTTCAGAAAGCCGAGCGCGAGCAGCTGTAGAACATTACATTCGAGTCAAGAACACGGGATCCTGCAGGAATCCTATCCCGAAAGTCATTCCAGTACAACAGGAGTATCCTAACCCGGCAGTTACCTACACTCCTCACTGCACGGTACTTTACAGGTGCGCAGAAGATACAGGGTGTTGTAGACATGACGGCGCCACTTGCCAGTACAAGGATAGAGTGGAAATACCGCTATATTTCTATGTAAGTTGATGTGAGTTTTTAACAATTTTAAGAAGAGAGTTTTTTAAATTAAAAAGATGTCAATTTATCATTATTAAATATCATGCAAATGTGCATAATACTGATAGAAAGGAATACACAGCGGAAGCATCTTAGGATATAATATATTCGAATCACCACTCGAAGTTTTGTATACTATTTTTTTACATCCTGTATACACGGTGTCCCATATGAGAATGCACACTACATCAAATTTGTAAACCAGAATATACAGGGTGGTCCGAACTGTATTTCGGAAACTTCGGCAGCCTATTTTACTGATAAAAATAAGTAAAAATGTTCATATAAATGTATGTCCTAAAATGCTTAGTTTCGGAGATACAGGGTGTAGAAGTTTCATTTTTATTTCGATTTTTTCCAAATAATTTCTGAAGTAAGGTCAATATTTGGATGAAAATTGGTGTCTGGGAGTTTTTTGACATGAAAAATTTGGATTTTAATGTCAAAATGACTCCTATTTGTAGGGGGCGCCATCTACATGTGTTTTAACTGTTCTGAAAAGTAATAACTTTTTGTTCGTACCTGTATAAAGCTACTGAGTGAAAAAATATGCATTTCCGTGATTTTCTACATAAAAAATGTCTCTTGGTAAGAATCGCTACGAGCAACTGTTCTCAAAATATTTACAATGGAAATAGTCAATACATGTTATTTCATGACTAAAAATAAACATGTTGAGTAGATAGTTAATTGACTGAAATGAGAAATTTGGGCACTTTTTATTTTTTTAAACTAATCATAAATTTTTCTTCGAAAAAATGATGATGAAACAGTTTCTGTTGAACTTTTGGCACAAAAACATCGCAAATTTATGATTTTAGTCTAATAACTAATTAGTCAAACATGTTTAATTTATGTCAATGATGACAGGTATTGGTAATTTCGATTCCAAATATCTCGAGAACCATTACTCGTAGCGATTTTTACCAAGAGACATTTTTTACGTAAAAACATCGCAAATGTATATTTTTTAAGTATCTAGTTTTATACGGGTACGCACGAAAAGTTATTACTCTTCAAATCAGTTAAAAAATACATAGGTGGCGCCCTCTACAAGTAGGAGCCATATTGACATCGAAATCAAATTTCTCATGTCAAAAAACTTCCAGACACCAATTTTTATCCAAATATTGACGTTACTTCGGAAATTATTTGGAAAAAATCGAAATAAAAATGAAACTTCTACACCCTGTATCTCCGAAACTAAGCATTTTAGGACATACATTTACAAGAACTTTTTTAATTATTTTTATCTGCAGAATATGTTGCCGAAGTTTCCGGAATACAGTTCGGACCACCCTGTATACAAAGACGATTTAAAAAAGAAAAGTTGTGCCTTGCTGAAACCTACAACTTCATGTTTTGAAATCTAAAAAAATATATACTTTGTGACAAAGAAAATACCACATCCCTTAATTGCAAATATATTATATTAATATTTTGGGATGTACTTGGTATCAATATGAATAATAATAGACGACATTTTGTTGCAAATTTTTTGACAGGAATTGTTCATAGATAAAGGAAATATATTTAGATTGGAAAAAGCCCGTCAAAATATATAATAATTGTTTTGGGTCGCGACCGTTGTACGCGATCTGGCGCTGCTATAGCGGTTGCTAAGAACAATCGCCAAACAATAACAGAAATAATTTTCTCTTGTCAAAATCAGATTCTCAAAAATTATAAAATCTTTCAAAATTTAAACCGCCCTTATTGAAAAAATACCGAAAAGTGTTTAAAGCGTCCATTCTCAAAGTAATTATTGCTTTCTTGTTAGTTTAATTTAAATTTTACTCTCAAACCCGTAATAATTGTGAAAAAGTGGCATTAAAAACGAAAAAACTGTGTTGTGAACTGTGAACTGTCAAAACATGATCAAAACCATCGTGGATCATGGCATAACGTCGGTTTCCAATGTGTCATAGGTATTTCACATACATGCATTGGCGTAACTACAGGGGTGCCCGGGGGTACCCCTCCCCCAGGTACTGCTGGACACCCCCCAGAGATATCTTGAATGATGACTCTTGGCTACGTATTAATTTTTATTTGCTTGTGATGCAGTAAAAATGACGTTTTCTAGTTTTGTTTAGTTAATATTATTTTGTGGTGTTCAAAAAATGTGTTTGAAACACGGTTTGATAACCAAGTCTATGAAATTTATTGATAGAGAAATTCATGTAAACGTTTTATTCAAAAAATGTGTTTTTAAAATTATTTTTTATTTTTAAAAAACAAAAGTCCTGGGCCCCGCTTTAATTAAAAACCCAGGCCCTCCCCCAGGCCCACCCCAGGATAAATTGCTAGTTTCGCTAATGCATACATGTCCTTATATAAAATAAAGTTTCTGGTATGCAACACACTGTATTTTATTTATAACATTAAAAGAAAATAATAATAAATTTGAATAAATAATATTTGGCGACATAATTCCGGAAAAAGCCGAACCGATCCGAAATTTTCAAAAGCTTTGGGTCGCGACCGTTGCAAGAATAGCGCCAAATAGTGTTTACATTGTCCTTATGGACACTTTCCAATCTAAACTTGTGTTTAATTTATGTATGGTTTTGACATTCGTATATCGTAGGAGAGGTGACAAATAAAATCTGTTTTTTTTTTAATTAAAAAAATTGGTTATTTGTAAACGGACTGGAATAAAAATGTTATCGTATCAACTGCCAAAACATTATAAATATAGCTAAGCACACACTGGGTGTTGCAATTTCTATGTCACACAGTACAATAGAATTATAGCTGCTATATATCACTTCTGTGGATATATACTTATAAATACATCAAACTATTTTAAAGAATAAGATTATAGACAATTAATAATAAACCTTAAAAGGCGTTTATTAATTATTATTGTAACATGCACATAACATCTATAAATCAAGCTTTTATATTGATAATTCGCATCGGTATCTAAAGCTACACCCACACGAGCGTTTCACGGAGCAAATGCCTACGTCATGATCAATTGGAGAGACATGTCACCACCTTAGTAGTCGGAAGAAAGATTGCGGGTATAGATATATCCTAACGATATTTTTAAAATTTTAATTGGCCATTGAAAGTTTATAAAGTGGCTTTATCGAATAGAGATGATCTAGAGATTCTTGTCGTGGACATTTGGATCAGGAGACGTTCTTGAAGATTGTGCGGTAAAAATAAAAATGTTGAAAATAAAAAATATACATGAGCTTTTTTTTGAGTTTGAGTTTTAACCCGACATAGTGACATTATACTACTAGTAACTAATTGTTGAAAAATAATAAAAAACGTATAAGTAATATTCATTTCTTGAAAAAAAACTGGATATTCCAAACTTTAAACTAACAGTTACCTACTACTTGATCACAAAATTTCCGTATATGAAATATTTCAAGAAAAAACAGAAAGAGAGTTAAAGCTATACAGGGTGAGTCCTAAATAAGTGTAAATATTTTCAGGGCTGGTAGATCTTGATAAACGAAACATATTTTTTCTTTACCATTTTTCAGAGAAGACCAAAATAACCAAGTTATTTAAGTTTGAAAATTAAAAAAAAATGATTTATTTTGAAAAAAATTTGAGAGCTACTGGATTTTTTCTGAAATTGCATCCGTTTTAATGCCGTAACCATAGAGTAAGTAATATCAGAGATTGAGAAATTATACCGTGGGAAAATTTGCGGAGAACAGGCAGTTCTAAAAAGTTTTCGAAAAATATACAGAGAAATTTAAAAGAAAATGCACGATTTTCAACATCTTTTTTGTAAAAAAAAACCTCATAGACGTGTTTCTGGGGTCGAAATATACCAGCCCTGAAAATATTTGCACTTATTTAAGGCTCACCCTGTATATTAGGTCTAATAACAGAGTATTGTAAGCTGCACATTGACAACAAGCTATATTGGGGGTTCAGTCTCCAAGATGCTAGACATTTTGTAAAGGACAGGACTGGGGAATGCAACCTAAACATCAGAAGAGGACCACAATAGTTCTGAAAAGGTCGCGGTGGAACATGCCAATAACTACCTGAAAAATCTAGTTTAAATCTACCAGCATTGGTTGAAAGAATTGGGAAGATACGCACCAAATGGGCGAATTCGTGACGAGGCTGATTTAATTTCCTCTTACGTCTCAAGTGCTGTACGGTGGAGCTACCAATCGTTCTGCGGCCAACGCATAAAACACTTATTTTCTCTAATTCGGCCGGCGAATGCATATCGAAAACAGTGTTACCATATTAAAACATGTAATATTTGTAATACGTTTGACGAAAATATCTTTGAATGAAAAAATCCGCGTTTATGTATTGAAAATGTATTCGTGTTAAACAGAGAATAAACATCAAAAAAAAATTCTTTTTTCAGTACTGAATATGTTGTATATGATCGAAAAAAGTTGTTTGGTTGAAAATGACGATTATTGACATGTATCATAGTATTTTACATATATTAAATAACAACGATCTTTATTTCCAAGCCAACTCTGACCCCGTTCTTTCTTTAAGGTACATTCAGGCTGAGAGCGTCGCGTCCGCGTAGCGTCGAAATTGAATCAATTTACTTAACTTAAATTAGACTGTTTTCGGCGAGATTTGTAGCGTTCGGTGGCTGGAAATCATCCAAATCTAGGCAAGACATGCACTTTGGAACGCAAAATTGTTACAATATAGAAATATAAACATGCGTAATCGGCTATTTAAAGAAATTATATCTATCTCTATTCTATATTTTTGAAATGTTTATAATATGTTTATTTACTTGTCTCTATTTTTTTAGGTAGATTCTCCAACTTTTTTGTATATTATTTAACTGCAAAATTATGACATTTCTAATACTAAAATTAAATAAACTGCTCTCTTTAAAGCCATTGTACAAACTAGAAATGTAAAAATCAGTATCACAAGCTGAACTGACGCTTCCAGCCTGAACGCCTCGACGCGACGCGGACGCGACGCGACGCTCGGCG